GAGAGAGCGCGCCCGCGCATATCTATGGCGCGCGCTAGTGAAAAGTCATCTGAGAAGTATAGATAACGTTATGCTGGTATAATCAGGTCTTTTTCTTTGATAGGGGTCACTTGAAAAAGTTGAAATACCATTAATGGTGAGTTGTGTGTATAAAATTCTGGGTTTTAATGCTTTTAAGGATTTCATAATTATTATCATGCATCTTTATGATCTGTTTGTTTTTGCAGAGTAAAAATTCCATCATTGAAGTGTTTCAATTTATTTTAAAATTTCCAGACATTTCAGCAATAAAGTAAGTACTCTGTAATATCACCATGGTAACAGTCACATGACATGCAACCAAAGGAACGACACCTATTTACTTGAGGTTGAAGAATCGCTGAGATCAGCATTACTCAAAATCAGTATCAGTGACGTACTATGTAAGCCACGCCTACAGGAGCTATCTGACCACACCCAATTAGACAGTCCACCATTCACCATATTAGTACACACTGAGAAATCTAAAGCAGCTAACCTGACACACCAGCAAGAGGAGGAAGTCAGTGAGAGAGAGATAGAGTAACTTCCCGTTTTTCAATTTTTCATTTCTTTAAATGCACATGTACATGTACTTGAAAATATAAAATCAGTCCAAATATGGTATGTGGTACAAATTTAAACTAATGTCTTCCTGAAATTTGGTGCTTTACGGCAATTATTTTTTTGCATGTACATGTACATACATGTATGTCACATGTAGGGGTTTCCATGGATACAGGTCAACCCACAAGAGTATGACCACACCTCCGTCTTTCAGCCGCCCACTCGTAATCCAATGAAACTGACGCCAATCAAGTCAATCAGCAACGAAATGTTACAGGTATAAATAATATTAATAATAATAATAATAATAATAATAATGGTAAAATTCATTTTGTTTATAATACAAAAATCAATCATTAGATGGAAGTACAGCTAGCAACAAAAGAAAAAGAATAATAATAATAAGAAGAAGAAGAATTTTTTTATGGAGACAGAAGCACCAAAAAAACAATAATAATATAATAATAATAATAATATTATAATAATAATAATATAATAATAATAATAATAATAATAATAAATAGCATTTGTGGAATTTCACAAAAATTCTGAATAAATAGAGACATGTATCAATATTATTACATTACAGAGCAGGTAATGACAAATTATAATAATAATAATAAAATAATAATAATAATAAGCAGAAAAGTAGCTATAATGGTGTTTTTAGCAATATTATATTGAGGAGGAGGAGGTGGTGGGAGAAATATTAGAAAATATCAGGACATACTGTATAGTCCTTGTTCAGTTTAGCGTCCCAGTAATGGCCATCAAACACGTGATAAGAAGTATTAGTGTCTGGATCAAACTTCTCTGTGAACCATCTATGAGTAGAGAAAAAATAAGGTTAGAGAGAGAATATATGTACATGTACATTATGTGAATGAAACATAAGATATTCCACCATTATGTATTGTATACTGTCTTTATCTCTTTTTAGTAGTTACCTGGGTTTCCATTCTTCCTTCTTCTTGTCTCTTGCTTTCCTGGCTGCTCTCTGCTTCTCTTCTAGTCTTACCTTCTCCTCTCCAGCCTCTTCAATCTACAGCAAGATAAACACAATACCATGTTATTAATCTTGAAGCATTACCTGTCCTTCTTCAAGGAGCCTTTGGTCTGGTCTCTTCCTTGAATCAGTTGGACACTCAACACCTTTTGATGAAGTAAATGTGAGTTATATTGTATTATCATTATTCTTTACATGTACATAAAGTAATAGTATTAGTTGTTACATGTAGACTAGTCTTTCTCTCTCTACTTTATTACCCTCCCTCTCTTACTATCATCATGTTCATTAAGACTCATGGAGAATAAAGTGAATCCGTACTGTCTGTCATTATCAGGTAGAGGCTCGTGTGCAGTCCACAAGTTGTTCCTATTGCTACCATCTGAAGACACAAGAGGATACAGTAGTACTGCATGTACTGATAATTAATGGTTTACAAACCTGGGTCAACCCTGTCCATTCCTTTGTCCCATCGTCCCTCGAGATTATAAATGACAATACCATCCTTAGTTGTCACTTCACCTAATGGAGGTAGGTAATTATCATCATCATCATCATTATTATTATTTTAAAAGTGACTACTAACATTTAGCATTTTTGTTTAATTATAATTATTATAATTAGTGATTTTCTGTTGCTGCCTTGATACTTTTAAATTCATTTCTAAACACTCACCATTAATCTGCTTATAGTTATCCTTTGATTTGCTGTGCGGGTTCCAATTCACTACGGCCCGGTCGCCCGTCTGGTGGGAGGTTACTGTGACCACACCCTCATGATCCGCCCACAACTGGCCGATAATGAGATTGTGTACAGTCGTGTGAGGCTTGTTCCACGAATAATGGTAACCGTCTAACTTTGTTTTGAAATGAACTAAACCAGTCGGTTGGATACGAACCCACTGGAGAGAGAGAGACAGAGAGAGAGAGGGGAGGAGAGAGAGACAGAGAGTTAAGTAAGGCTATCATATAAAGATTCTTTTATTTCACTTTGAGATAAAGTAAAGTAACAATAAAACAAGTCAACGTGACATAAAGAGGAAAAGGGACAAGAAAGGATCAAAGCTGTTGACAAAAGGTACAGGAAATATCAACTTTACAAGAGATTATGTAGGTATGTATGTACGTGTAGATGTATATTTGTATGAGTGTTTCCTGCAAAGTATACTTCATAAGCTGACAAGCACTACAATACAGCTATAATAGTATGTACAATTCACACGTCATTTGGAGGATCTTAAAAATTCATAAAAAATCGAATTGTGATCGGAATGAGCTCAAACTTTAAACACAACATAAGAACATGTATATGTATCAGATAAACTTATAAAAATTAAGAATTGTCTCCTTTTCAATTTTGGCGAAATTTGGCTCAAGACCATGTACTATAGTACAGTGACTTTGGCCCAATTTTTGAGCAACTTAAAAAATTTGTAAAAAATCCAATTGTGATCGGAATCAGCTCAAACTTTCTACACAATATAAGAACATGTATATGTATCAGATAAACTTATAAAAATGGAGAAATCTCTACTTTTCAATTTTGGCAAAATTTGGCCCGAGACCATGTACTATAGTACAGGGACTTTTGCCCGATTTTGAAGCAACTTTAAAAATTCGTAAAAAATCCAACTTTGATCGGAATGAGTTCAAACTTTCTACACAACATAAGAACATGTATATGTATCAAATAAACTTATAAAAATGGAGAATTCTCTCCTTTTAATTTTTGTCAAAATTCCCTGTACTATAGTACAGGGTCTTTGGCCCGATTTTTGAGCAACTTGACAAGAAGCACTACACAAGTGTTTTTATATGGGAGATCCCTGAAGATATTGTCAACAATTAATACAAAATGGTATAAAATAGTGAATACAATACACTCAGCAATGTGCTAATCGTGCTAATTGTTCTATTAAGTTGACTGCTATGAATTAGCAACTGGTTGTTACTGGACAAGGATGGAAACTGCATGAACACACGCTATCAGCTGTCAACCATATTAGTGATAGCTGGTAGTCTAACTGCAAGGAAATACACTGCATATGTGGTCAGTTACCATACCATCAACTGGACCAGCTATATGGCTACTGATTACAATAACAACAATGACATCAGCTTTTAATATGATCATTATCTGTTAACTGGCAACATGTATATGGCTACAGATAATAATATTTAAATAAGTGGAGGGAATTAAATATAATTATTATAATTACATACAGTTAATTTGTAATGTCTGTAAATGTCATAATTTTAATGATATTGCAACATACCACACACATTACGGATTCACATGTATTGGTATATTATTGGTATATTATTGGTATATTATTGGTAATAGTAGACTCAATGTGTTGATCATACCTGTCCTCTGAATTTGATGTCTAGTTTGTACTCCTCCCAAAATACCCACTTGTCTGATTCACAGTGTAGAGCAGTGATAGGAGGATGGTGGCTTACCTGAGAAGAGAGAAAGAAAGAAAGAGAGTGAATATACATTGTATGTACAAGTAATGCATGTTTATCAGTATAACATATAAGATTTATTTTCTAGTGTCATTTGGTAGTTAGGTGTACCTGTTCTGCAATAAGGCAGTATCCTAAGTCTTTCCTAACTAACTCGTACGTCTCACCAAGCAATGGATTGAACGGCTTACTGTGTCTATAATAACAACAACAACAATAATAGTAATAATAATAATAATAATAGTAATATTAGTAACTGGGATAATAACCAATAATAGTAATAGTAATGCAATAATAACCAATAATTGTAATAGTAGATGAATTGTAATGTAATAATAATAATAGTAATCATAATTACAAAGCATATGCAAAGCACATGCTTCATTGGTCTATGAATAATAATTATTATAATCATCACATTGTGTATAGAAACAATACTCTCTTGGGGGGTCACTCATTTCTTTAATATTACCAGACCCCTCCTACCTAGTTAAAGTGCACACGTAGCAAGATGACGCTAATGCAGCTAGATACGCTAATCTATCGTAAATAGTTTCTGCCTCTAAAATTAGGGGAGAGGGGGGGAGAGAAATAAAATTTGAAGTTATTGTTATATAATGTATACCTGCTGCTTTGTGACAGAGTTCTATATACTCTACATCCTCACACAGTCTCTGCAGGTTAATGAAGTCACATGACAATCACATGATGATAGTAATGTTGACTTACTTGTAAAAACGAAATCGGTTCATTAAAGGTGATAGGCATCGATATGCGAGTGACGTCCTTACCAACGAGGTTCTTTAAGAAACTAAGTATAGAAGAAATATCCAAATATTAACGATAGTAAAGTATCAATGTTCCTATTTTGTCTATGTTAAAGTTATTGTTATTGTAGGCGTGTCAATTACAAATCACAACTCTAACTACTACAGGAGATTGCACTATCTTTGCAAGGAGAGTAAAAATTGGAAATCTTCCTCACCTTCCTTATAAGGAGTAACAGCTACTTAGTTTCTATTCTCAATAATAAATTACCCACTAAACAAAATAAATCTACTCAAACTCTTGTCGCAAGGATTATGCATTCTCCTGTAGTATAAATTAGATATTCTCATTTAATAGGACACATCCATGATTCATTGTATAATTGTAAAGTAAAGGAAGCTCACGCCCAAAGTCCAACTGTGCTCCTTTCTCTTGGAAACGGGAGCTTTTTTCTAAAAGATGTTATCGAAGATTGCTCTGTAAGTAGAGAGAGAGAGGGGAGGGAAGGAGGGGAGAGAGAGAGGGAGGGGAAAGAGAGAGAGAGGGGGAGAGGGGAAGGAAATAGAAATATCATTATATGACCACAAAACCTTTAAAGTGCATATAGATTCCTCTTTGGAAATATTTGAGCTAATGCATATTGGCAGTATCATATGCAAACAAAGCCAGCCATACTCTAAACTAATCACTTTATCCTTTGTTCATGTTTTAGCTGGGAAATATTTCCACGATAAACAGAGCTGTAGTCAAATCAAAAGAGACTGGTTCACATTATGAAGTAGACTCTCATTAAATCAGTATGGGACTAGTGTTGTTATAATGTCTATTATTAAGATCAAAGTGTAGATATACACACATGATAGTGTAAGTCCTGGCTCTCTGATAGTAGCTCACTACTGTATGGAGTGTATGATTAAAAT